CAATGTTAATACCAACATGGGCCAGTGAAGCGACGTCCTCCACAACTAGACTGAAGAACAAAAGGACAGCAACTTGTCTGTTCCCCTTCCCCAGTTCCCCAATAAAATCTTTTAAAAAAAAAAAAAGCTCTACTCTATTACCCATTATCTTTTTATTACCCATTTTCTTCAAAGAAGACTTTAGTAAATACTATAACAATTTTATTTTTATTCATTCTATGACCTTTCCGTTAAAACAACCACTTAACCATAAAGCAGATCAAATCTGGACTTCTAAGCATTTATGAGGCAATTTCTTTAATTAGATCTTCAGAAATTTTGTGACCCATAATGGAGCTCTTTCAGAAAGCTGCCATTGCGCTATATAGAGCAATATACATTGTTGCCTGCGTGATATCCCCTCCAGCATTTAGCAGAATTGAATCATAGTCCCCTGAAAGAAAAATACTCTCATTTATTTCCACAGCCTCTTGTATGTACTAAACCATAACAACTCCTTAGGTATCTGGCAGACTAAAAATATTCACGCATTTGTAGAATCCTGGGCTTATTGCTGCTTTATTGTGTTATATAGTATTATGAAATTATAACTAAAGTTAAAACATCTGTGATCGCAGTTATTTTTGGAATTACTTTTAAAGCGTGAACATTTTCAATGGGCTGGGTTGAGCAATAAGCACCAAGTTTCAAATAAAAAGTCTATTTTTAGAGCTTTTTTATATAGCATCATAGCACATGTCAGACTGATATAATTACTGGCTTTTAAAAATAAGCAACTTGAATTTTATTTTACATAATAGATGCTTAATAAGTATACTGAAAGGATGCATAAAATACTCAGAATTTAGTTATTGTACTTGTTATTCAATAACACTTTTGCACTAAAATAGAACAGTCTGCTCACCTGCCACCCTCAGGTAATATTAATAATTCCAGGTGTTATAGTAAGTTCTAGCTTCGTTGCCTAGCTTTGTGTGTTTACTCGGTGCAGAGGGGAATTTTATGCGTAAAGAAAGGGGGCAAATTGGATGATGAGGGATTCTAAAATAACCTCTAACTTCTAAAGATTTTCCTAAAACTTTAGAATTGTTAGAAGCCTTGCACCTTTTGTTTCTGTGAGTTCTCTGAGGAGAGGGGCTGTGGTTCATAACTCCATTATCAGAAGTACCTGGCATTCAGTAAGCCTTCAGGAAGTGTTGAATGAATGAGTTAGTTGTGCTATTGATTTATCCTCTGGGAATTTTTCTGCTGTTATCACTAAATTAAGTCAAAAGTAATCCTTGCCCAGTATAAATATTTGTCCGTGCTGGAAAATATAAATAAGTGGTAAGGTGCTTTCTGTCTATCTCTAGTTATTGCAGTGCCTTTGCTTGGTATTATTCCCATATAGCAGATGAGAAAACTGAGGCTCAGAGAGGATAAGTTACTTGAACACAGCTAGTAAAAGATAAAGGTAGGACCCTATCCTGATATGCTGCCCGGAGTGTGTATTCCTCTAATGCGTAGAGGTCAAGGACCTGGGCTCTCAGCATTCACAGGCTCTTTGTGAATTGTTCTGGGTACCAATAAAGCTGGATATAGGAAACGGGACTTTGTAAAGCACAAAGTAGTATAACACTGCATGCATTTTTATAACTTTTGAGCACTTCAACTTTTCAGTTACTAGGCGGCCCTGAATCTAAACACCAGTTTTTCCCTGAAATGTTTCTAGTTGCTTGGGAGTTGAGAAATAATGGAGACAGGACACAGGAGGAGGATGACCAACAGAGAAAGAAGCAGGTGTAGGATAAGGGATTGAAGTTGGCATGCTTTTTAATTGTGAAACATTTAAAATAAGAAGACAGATTCATGTAATGACCGTGCACCCACCACAAAGCTAATTAAATGTTGATATTATGTTTGTTTCAGATCTTAAGTAAAACATTACAGATATAACAGGCCCTGAGTACATCCCATTTTGTATTAGACTTTTATCATATGTTAAAGTTTATATTCATATTGATAAATACAACTTGAGTACACTCATGTTTAACTGCTTTATAATGTTTTAGGGTAGGAATATCCCCCAGTTTATCTGTTCTCTGACTGATAAAGATTTCGGTTGTTTCCAGTTACTTTGCTGTGATACCCAGTGCCATAGTCAACATTTGTTTCACTTGTGCACACGTGTTAGTTTCTCACTGGGGTATGACTAGGGGAGGAGTGGCTGGCACACCTTCAGTTTTACTGCATCTTCTCAATAGCATTCTCAAGGTGGGAGAGCAGTTTGCAGTCCCATCACTGTGTATGAGTGGAGGAAAGATGATAATAAGAAGAAAGGAAGGAATATAAGGGGCACGATGGAGGGCGGGATGGGAAAACTTAAGTATTTATAAAGAAAATCAGAAGTATATCAGTAGGGTAAAAGGAATCTCTTGCAGAAACAAAAAGCTGCCAGAATCTCAGCTCTTCATTTTCCTTCTTTTAGATCAAGAATGAGTTTTTACTGAGCGTAAACAAGGCTTTTCTGTCAAGTATGCTGAAATTTTTGCCTGATCACACTGTTTATATGCTTGTAAATCTGCTGAATGATCCATTACTTACTGGAATGCCACATGAGAACAAGCAAAATTGAATGGCTTCTTTCTTTTTTCTAGGGCAGGTGAAATTTGAATAACGTATTATGAAGAGAGATAAACGCTACAGTCTTCCCATTTAAAAAAAGCCATAATAACTTTCTTGTGTTGTATATTTCATTTGGGAGTGTAATTTAAGTTGAACTTAGACTTGGGTCTTCTGAAATATTTAAAAAAATTCTAGTTATGTAGCCAAACATTTGTGCCAGTCAGGGGAACACTGTGCGTGTGCACACGCGCACACACACACACACACACACACACACACACACACACACAAAGAAGAAACATTTTCGTTCATATTGACCTATTAACTATGTCCTAACCATATCATCCCTCAGGTCTGTTAGTGGGAAATAAAATTTTCTGCCAACTTCTTTCTCCTTTTTTGCCCTTGTTCACTCTCGTGATAGTATTTAAGAAAATGTAATGGTCCAGAAGCTTGTAACAGTGGAGGCCAGAAGGGCAGAGTGGGGAAAAAGCAGGGATCCGTGGTTTTCAGATGTTCCCTGCACCCCCACAGAGCCGGGCCCAGGGCCAGTTCTGATTAGTACTGATCAGAAGAGATGGGTGCTCTGTTTGGCACAGACGACCCTGTGATAGCACACACTTCATGAATTGGAGCCCATTCTTACTACATTAATGAGCCCTCTTTGCAGGAATAGGATTGCTTATCTTCAGGGCCTTGTGCACACCTTGTTGGTGGTATGGCAACATTTGAAAGCCTATGGCTTATATCTCTGGCTTATATACTCTACAGATCGGGTGACCCTACCCACAGTTCTCTCTGTAGAAAGAAAACATTCTTCCCTCTGGACTTCTCTGGGTTAACCCTTAGTGGTTTGCATACATTTTGTTCTCAGGATTGCTTTATACTCTTAAAAATTACTGAGGAACCAAAGAACTTTTATTTATGTGGGTTATATCGATCAATATTTACCATATCAGAAATTAAAACAAATTTATTCACTTTAAACAATAAATCCCATTACTTTGTTAACATAAATAATATATTTTTGCAAATAGTAATTTGTTTGTTTTAGAAAACATAGAAGAGTGGCATTGTTTTACATTTTTGCATGCCTCTTCAATGTCAGTTATTGAAGACAGCTGGATTCTCTTACCTGCATTGGGTCTCTTGTGATATCACACATCGTGTAGCCTCCAGAAAACTATTATACACTCCTAAAAGGGGTGAAAGTGAAAAAGGCAAATAACATCTTAGTATTCTTATGAAAATAGTTTGTGCCTCCTAGAAAGTGTGTGTTTATACTCCTTGAGATTAGGGATCATGTGGGTTTTGCTCTCAGTTATATCTCCAGCTCTTAGCACAGGGCCAGCCCCAGTAAATATTTGAATAAATAAATTAGTGAATGAATTTGAATAAGCCTACTTTTTAAATTCAGTGTGGTTATAGTTTCTCTTAAAATGTAAGGCCTTCTCTGGATTCACACATCAATCTGTATTCTGCTTGTCTTACCCATTATATTGCATTATAATTCTTTGTTTACCTGTCACCCACCCCAGCTAGATTCTTAAACTATGAGAATAGGGACTGTGACTTATGTATCTTTTCAATCCCCTTCTCCATGCTCCCCACTCAGCACCTAGCATATCTTGGTATATAGTAGACATGAAAAAATTGTTGCATATGCTACAATTGCAAGTAAAGGTAAAAATTTTGACCTAAGAGAACTCATGTTCCCACTGCATAGGTTACTGACAGATTTTTATTTCTGAGTTAATTTTGCACATCATTCTCTTATAGGGTATCCTATAGGTAGTCTGATTTCCAAGAAAGAATCATGGCGATCAGGTGTTTTTTAAAAAAACATTTATCATGCATGGACATCATTCTTTCAGCAGATGTTTGAGTTATGTCCATGTGCCTAGCACTGCGGTGCACTGGGGATACAGCTGTGAGCCACATAGACTTGATCCCTGCGCTCCAGGACCTATGGCCTAGCAGTCTAGTTCAGGAGTCAACAAACTTTTCTGTAAAAATCTGAATAGTAAATGTTTAGACTTTGTGGCCATATGGTCTTGGTTATAAGCACTCAATTCTGCCATTGTGGCCCCAAAGTCGCCATAGATACTGTGTAAACACGAGTGTGTGTGTTCTAATCAAAGTTCAGGAGACAGAACAGATTTGGCCCAGGGGCCATAGTTTGCTGTCTCTTGATCTAGTTCATTTATCGCTTGGCCTCTGTCTCTGTCTCTGTCTCACTCTCATTCATGTATCCACAGCTGCAATTTTCATATTTTCAATGAAATTTTCAGTGGCTCCTTTGCTACAATTAGCTTAGGTGAGATTGTTGAAGAACTTGATCTCATGCAAATGTCTAAAGCTAATTTCTGTTTTTTCCTTTTACTCTTTTTCTCCAGGACATTTTATTTCCTTATATCAAAGAAAATGTTAAAGAGTATCTGCAGACACACTGGGAAGAGGAGGAGTGCCAGCAGGATGTCAGCCTTTTGAGGAAACAGGTTGGGAGATTCCTATTCCATTGCTTCCACGTTCCCAGGTGTCTTAGAAATGAGGATTCCTAGAGACTTAGGATATGCTCTGACCATATCGTCAAAATAAGTGCTCTGGATTCACAGGGCATGGACATTGCAGTGAATTGCCTGCTTAAGAATTTACAGTACATAATTAAACGGCCAGACCATGGCAGTTTATTGCCTCTTTCTGGAGCTAGTTCAGCTGCATAAGAGTATCATGTATTTATGAAACTAGGCACTTTCTGGGTGGAACGCACAAGGTTTTGTGCCATCTTTTCACATTTTTCACTAAAGCTCCATGTGCCAGCACCTCATCACTTCGTTCTCCACTCTCCTGTCTCGTGGCAGGAGCCCCTGCTGACCCCTGTGACCCCTGCACAGTGCTCCCGGATCCTCGCGTCCACACAGTGCCCCCAGACCTCTGACCCGGCTCAATCTTGGCCAGCCCTCATCCCAGCCTTAGTCTCATGTGCTCTGCTCCCTGCTCTCTCCCTAGTTTTTAATCACTTTTTCCTTCCACACTGTATGTTGTGGAACTCTTACTCTGTTTCTTATTAAAATTGCTTCGGTGAAGAAGATCTTAAATGCTACACAGAGCAAACTTTCTGGCAGTTATTTTCTAGTTAGTTTTTCTTCATTGGACAATGTGGAGTGCTCTCTGTGAATTTTTTAATATTAGGAGTTAGGATTGGAGATGTAGTCACATACTTTGGGGCATGGGATATTTGAGTTTGTTGAATTTTCTAGGTAACTCATGGTTAGTCAGAAACATTCCCCTCCTTACCTTTTTGTTGTCTGAACTCATGTTGAAACATGCACACATATTCCCTCATTGTCACAGGGTCATTGCTCCAAATAGCTGCTAGAGTTTTTGCAAGATGTGGGAGGTGGCCGGAGACTGAATGTGAACCAACCCCAGACATTACTTCACTAGCTTCTTTTCATTGAATTCCAGGCATAAACTAATTTTAGAGGTTTTCTCTAGTTTTACCTCAGTTACAGAGAGAGAAAATGACCAGATTTGATGGAACTCCTTATTTGTTCATCCTAGCAAGTGAATCAACAAACCAGGTCTTACTTTATCATTTTTGTCAGTATGTGCTACCTCTCTTCTCACATACAACATGTCTCTCAGTTTAAATTTCAGCTTTAGCAATATAGGAAAGCTAATGTAAAATTTTAAATTATAGTCCAGTGTCTTTTAAGAATCATTCACATCAGCCCCAAAGTGTAGGATACTTGAATTTGTGACACAGCTCAGTCTAACAAGTTGGAGAAAATGGGTCTGCTTGGTTTTCAGGTCTCATTTTAAGTGCTCTTTTTTTTTAATTAATGAGAAACTTGTTTATGACTTGAAGGCTGAAGAGGACTCCCACCTGGATGGTGTGGTTCCGATCCCTGCCGTGCCTGAGAACGGGGCGGATGACCTGCAGCAAACAATCCAGGCGGTGGTAGATAATGTGTGCTGGCAGATGTCCCTGGACCGAAAGACCACGGCGCTGAAACAGCTGCAGGGCCACATGTGGAAGGCAGCATTCGCAGCTGGGCGCATGAAAGCAGAGTACGTAGCTGCTCAAGTGACTGAACGTTTCACCAGCCTCACAAACAAATACACTTTCCACTAGTCCTCTCTCTCCAGGGTTGTATGATTAGCAAAACAGATAAAATCAACATTCTGTTTATTCTGACAAGTTAGTGTTTCGTTTTCTCAAAGCTGGGATAAAGCATTTCACCCAGCTGAATTCTCCAAACCTGATGTTTGGCTTTGTGGGAGGATTGAAGGACTTTTAATCCCAGTTTTGAAACAGCTTCCTAGGAAATGATGATTTCCTTGAACTAAGTCATATTTGATCCTTTGCATATGAGTAACAGCACTGGTAGGCTGCTTCCCAGGACCATTAGATTACCTGCGTTCTGTTCTGTTAGAGAAGTAAGAACACTATGAAATTACGCACCCCATCACTTTGAGTGTCAGCAGTGCCACTCTGTTCTGTGCTCTTTTGAGCAACTTTCACAGACCCTTTGAGCCTTGGTTGTAGAGTTCCTGAGAGCACTCCTGAAGGAGACTCATGAGTTGTTGCTAAGAAATGCTTAGAAAGACAGTGCCGCTAAGGATTGTAGGCCGTTGCCTGATGTAACCCTAAGATCCAAGACCATTTCCAGCTACCTATATTTCTTTTGTTTTTTTTCTGCAAATGAGATGTCATTCCTTTATTTATGTACTTTACAGGGGGTTTCCACCTTTTAAAAAATGCATTGGGATTTAAGGATAGGCCAGTGATGTGGGAATATCAGCTAGATCACTTTGTAAAACACTCAAGAATGGAGGCAGGAGACTATGCTCGAAGTACTTAGCCCTTCCTTTGGTCTTGGTCCCTTAATTATAAAACCAGGAACGTGCAATAAGTTATCTTGGACTTCTAAGCCCTGCTTTGAACCAATAACAGTCTGCATATTCAACGTGGAAAAATCCTGTCTCCATGAGTGCAAAGTAACACACTAGCCCAGAATTATTGAATTAGTAGGTCTCTTTCCTTCAATTAGTACAACATATTAAACTGTTTTATCCAGTAGTAGACTTCTCTGACATTTTTCAGTTAATCTTTTTAAAGATGACTGGCTCCATATCCCAAGTTCCTTGTGTTTCTCTTTTTCACTAGTCTCCTGTGGTATTTCCACCACTGAATATGGAAGATGCCATATAGAATTGGTAGATAAGATTGAGTGTCAGGAATAAAAAAACCAGATACTGTGTGCTGATTAGCGAATGTGAGATGGTACAAGTCTCTTAACTGATTTGTTAAATAATTTTTTTCTGTATAGTAAAACTTTAGGTTTTTTTAATTCTTAAGAAATATAGTTCTGTTTTTTAGCTAATCAAGGATTAATAGCTTTGAGCTCCCAAATATCTTTTAATTGATTGGGTGCAGATCTTTTTATAAGCATTTCCATGTTTTCTTAAGGCACACTGGACATAATTTAACCTTATCATGAATTATATCAAAGATTACATAATAGTACAATATTGTTTTTTTTAGTCCCTTGGGAGTTTAAAAACTCAGTTTCTGATTTCACCCTTTTATCTGTAATCACTTTTGACTATCGTTAGTGGAGCTGTCAAAACTATTCTCTCCAACTAAATTGTTGCGTCTAATCTGCTGTGACCCTAGAACTCTGGTGACACATTTCCTCGATCTGTAGAAGTTCGCAGTCTCATGGCAACCATTTGGGCACAAATAGAGAAACTTGCGGCAATTATTTTGGCTGGTTTTCATCTGCCTAGATAACGTGTTCCTATATTTTAACTTGATGGTCTTTCCTCTAGGTTCTTTGAAGATGTAGTTCCAGCAGTCAGAAAATGGAGAGAGGCTGGAATGAAGGTGTATATCTATTCTTCAGGGAGTGTAGAGGCACAGAAACTATTATTTGGACATTCTACAGAGGGAAATATTCTTGAGGTAGGTTACCTGATTACTTTCTTTTTTGACAGTATCAAAACATGAAATAATGAATGTTAAAAGAATATGCTACAGTTATAAGTTAAATCAGCATTCAGTACACTATAAAAGGAAATGGAAAAACGGGGGGAATACATTATAGGCAATGAAATGTTTCTGTGGTAATAATCTTTGCATCGAAGTTTCTTAAACTTTGTTGTGCATAAGGATCACCTGGGGAGTTTGTTAAAATTGTAGATCCTTGGATTCTGCTTCCCAGAAAATCTGAATTGGCAGGTCTGGGTTGGGGAGGCAGGAATCTGCCTTTTTAAACATCCACCATAAGTCATTCTGATGATGGTAGTACTAGAACCACATGTAAAATACAGCTAACAAGACGAACTAGCTTGTAAATCAACTATCTTGCCAATTTTGGAAAATCATCAACTCGAAACTAATGGCATGATTCTTTTGGTGGTTTAAAGTAGCAGGTAAAATGTCAAAAAATAGTGACATGCCACTGTCTCCCCCAAAATAACACAGACTTGTTGAATGCAGCAGAGTACAAGGCAGATTGTTTGTTTCTGGTACTTGGAGAGGCACAGATTTTATTTTAGCAGAGCCAGCATTCTTATGTAAGAGAACTGGATACATTATTAAACAATGATAATTTAAAGCCACCTGTTAACATTTCTTGTACATGAAAAAATTCCTGCTAGCCCCTCTATCCTACCATCTCTATGCCCCCTGGAGGACAGGGTGGTCATTGGCAGAAGGAAATACATTTAGGACTTCAAAAACTCAGTACAGGCTGAACTTGGTCATATACAACAGGTCACTCAGCCAACTGTTTTTTGAAATATTTCATGATCCTCTACCATGTTCTCTGTACATGGAGAGTGTCATATTCTTAAATTCTAAAGTACTTTGCTGTTTTTCATCTTAGTTCTAAATCAAATACTAAAGCAGTAATAAAACCCTCTGTTGATAACTGTTACCCACTGAATACAGACGTAAACTTCTTTTCTGCTTTAATATACAATAAGGTGAAGACAGGGTATGAGAATTGCCTACTGAATTCAATAATAAAAACTTTATTTCCAGTTGCTAAGTGAGGCAGATTTGAGGGAAAAAATATACAAGACCAGCATTAACTTTTTAAAAGTTAAGAATATCATAGTATTAATATTACCTTAGCTTTTCTTTGAGTGATTATTAGGCTTGTTTTTTGGTTTGTGAAAAGTTCTGAAAATATTCAAAAATCACATTATAAAAGCTGATCCCTTAACACATTAAGTCCACAGACTTATTTTAATCACTATTGGTTAAATTAACAAGTTACACATTTGACCCCAATTATTTCTAAGATGGCAAGAGTATATACTAGCCCTTGGGTAGAATTTCAGAATGTTTTAATCAGAAAATGAAAGTTTTTTAAAAGTAAAATAGCAGCTTATGAGTGAGGCAGATTAGAGAAATCTGTTGGTTTTGGGATTAAAGGACAGTGTTCAGAACCTTTCATGAGGAATGAAACCCAGTCCGATAAGTAGTTTGAGTGTAAATAGTGTTTTAAGGATAGAAAGTAGGGCATGTGTGTTTTAAAAGACTTTGGATATAAAATTAATGCTAATGAAAGAAAAGCAAATAGATTATAAAATGACCTTATATACGCTGAATTGGTAGTTTTGTTCTTTGAAATGCTTATTGCTATGAAATCTTTGTATTTACTGTTTGCAGCCTCCATAAAGTGTTCTATTAAGTAGGTATTCAGTTATTATATATTGAGTGGGTAAAGTCACTGTGATTGTCATATATTTCAGAGATAAGGGATGAGAGACAAAGGGTCTGGGTTGCAAGTATATTTATAGCATCAGTCTTTCCTCTTCTCTGTATTCAGCTTGTTGACGGTCACTTTGATACCAAGATTGGACACAAAGTGGAGAGTGAGAGTTACCGAAAGATTGCAAACAGCATTGGGTGCTCAACCAACAATATCTTGTTTTTGACAGATGTTACTCTAGGTGAGTAATCTGACTTCTTACCCCAGGATGGGAGCTGAGCCTGGCACTGCAAACACATTGCCTCTTTAAAGAAAGTTTATGTGTGGACCCTTGAAAAATGAAACCGTTTTATAAAAAGAAACAGTGAATTATACATAGCTCCCTCTCCATGTACCCATCCTTGGGGGTTGTGTGTGGGGAAGTAGCATTGGAAAGAGTAATTCTTCCCATTTTAACTCCTTATCCATGGTTCCCTACCCATCCCTCTGTGTGTACACACAGACACACACACACACACACACACACACACACACACACACACACACACACACACTGATGAAATGGGAAAGTAGCAAAGGAGGACGTACGTGGTATTGTGGCAAGGAGCGTGCAGGCAAGAATATAAAGGTAGGTGCATGGCTATTTGAGGACATCAAAGTCACAGTGGACCTGCATCACATGTATTTATTAGCACCACGCTGTAACCAACTGAGCTAACTGGCCACCCAAATAGCAGTGAGAGACACACTCAGCAACAAAGGGAGAGAAAGAGGACTATAGTTTGAGCGATTTTGCCTTGTCATTCCAATTGGTGAGCACTGACCCGTTGGTGAGTAGGGCCCTCATCTCTGCCTTCTCTCAGATGGTCTCAGTGCCCCAGGTGCCCCTCATGCTGTGAACCTCAGGCCTCCTGGTGCATGATTCACCTGTTTAAAGACAGACATTCTTTTTACCCAGCATGGCCCTTCTTATGCGGTACATTAGCAGATGCATTATTACTTTAAGGATTGAATGCACAAAACAATATGCATTGTACTTTATTGGCAATTTAAGTGGTTTCCAGAGTAGTTTTGACTAAATGTAAAACATGCACTTGAGCGTATATGTAAGAATGTGCGTCCTCTGGAGAATTACAGAGGGGATTGGTGGTGAATGAGGAAACAGACAGCAGCAGGCGTAGGGGTAGAGGATGCTGCTGGAAGGTGGTCTCTGCCCTGGTTAGTGAGGCTTTCCCACGCTGCCTAACCTGGCCACGGCTTTTGTTTGCATGGTCGTTCTCCTTAGAGTTGCGCATCTCCCAGGGGCCTACTTTTATGCATTTATAATTGCACTTGTATTTGAAGGCAGTTTACATATTTGTGTTTCTGCCACTCACCTTAGATTGTAAGTTTCACCTTCCGTTTACCCACAGAGCAAGTCTTTGCATGCTGTGCAGCTGCTCCAACAAACTGTATCTGTGCTGGGGGCTGGGGAAGAGGTTGGGGGACGAGGTGGAGGGCGGGGGCGGCCAAGGTGGACGGCAGGGGGTGGCTCTCGTGCCTAGATGACTCCGCTTGGCTCCTGAGCCCCGTGGAGGCAACTTCAGCATCTGTAGGCGGTATTCCTCCTCCAGCCCTTCTGTATGTTATCACAGAACTAGAATCACCTCCGTTCTCACTAGGACCGTCAGAGATGGGGCCCACAGGCATAGCCAGGCTGCTGGCAAAGGCGGGTTAGCTATGGGAGTGTGTATGAATATCTTTTTCTACTGCTGACCCATGAGCTTTTGGTCTGTTGTGTTGATAAGTAAGAGTTGTAGGTATATAAGCAAGTACTAATTTGCTAAGCAGTTTTGAAAAAATTTAAGCAGCATAGATCATCAAATGCCTTCAAGAAGTTTTGTTTTCCAGAGAAAGAGAGGTAAATAGAACAGGCTCAATTTCACCTGACATACAATAGACATTCAGTAATTAATATCTTTGTAAAATTTCAGGACTGGAATTTTTTATCTAGGTAGATATTATTTAGTGGGGACCAGCCTCTGTCCTGCATGTCCTGGCTTGGGTCAGCTTCAGAGTCCAGGGGATTCTACAAACTGGCATCTCCTTTTTCTACACCTTGGAAAGCTTTACATTTGCATGTCTGAGTGCACTGAAGGTGAGAGACAGACAGATGCACAGATACACTGCTTCAAGGTTAATTGTGAAATTAGATAGCCAGGCCACTTACATGTACCATCCACAAGCCGTAGCCTTATCAACAACCATTTTGCCTAGCCTCTACATTGCATTATAAATGTCCTGTAAGTGCCTAGCATGTTTCTGTATAGAAGCCCTTTACTGATTCAAAGCTACAATCCTAGAATGGCTTTTGGGGGCTTAGAGTGGTGGGGTGGGGAGGGTGCTTTACTGTCTACATAGGTTAGGGGCGCACCAGCAGTTTCTGTGAGGAATGGTAATTTTGCTCCTTATGAAAGGAGACAGGCCTTGTTCTGGTGAGTTTGTCTGATTGAATCGCACTTCTTTAATCATTCACATAATGAAAGTGATGAAAGTCTGGTTTATCCTGTATTTAATTTCACTAGCATTTTGAATGGTAAATTTGCATGGAAAGCAGGCTTAGAGTTAGGGACCTGTTTTGTGGCTGGAGCTCCACACAAAGCCAGTCTGTCCTGAGCATCTATGATCCCTAGATCCTCGCCCTGTCCTCTTGGTTACTATGAATAATTGTAACCCCTACCCTAAGACCACTTACAGTTTTTCACAATCTTATCTTTAGCCACCTTTTTTTTCTAGTTGCCATCCTAGTACATCTGTAATTTCAGGTCTTTTTCACTTAAGCCATTTCCTTAGGTTGCAGTCCCAGAAATTATTCCTATGGTTTTTTAGAGAATAGAGATAATCCCCAAGTTGGCCTCACAGTAAATTGGCTCCCTCCAAGTCCTCCACAAAGAGGTTTTATTCCTGCCCCTTGTCTTCTGCCAGCCCCACACACAGTTGTAGGGCCAGAACTGGACACATCTGTAGCTGGGACGGGACCAGGCAGCTGGCTGTCTGCCTAGCTCTGATGTGGTGTTTTGGTACCACGTGCCCAGAATTTCATTGCCAAGGAGTGGAAGACTAAGTGATATCCCAAATAACACCCAGTTATAAAAGAGAACTGAGAGACTTTCCCTTTGGAGGAAAGGAAAGTGGCCCAGGGTTTTAAGTCAACAAATATTATTCTTAGGTGTCATTATACGAATAGAGCAAATAAATGCTTAGGGACAAAACTTGCCCATTGGTGATCTAGGTAAGAGGCTGAATGCATAGGAGTCACTAGCTACTGTCTAGTGATACGTGGATCATGATGGCTCAGCTCGGTAGAGATCCTGGATTGCTAGTTAGGAGGAAAGCTTCGCTTGAGGCAATTGGGCTGGGAACTGGGGGTGGGGCGGAGTTGAAGGTAGGTAGGTGCCTCTTCTGCTGGAATTAATGATATCTGCAGTGTTTGCCTGAGGAGGGGATTGTCTTGCACATTTTCTGTTCTGGGGAAGGTGACAGCCCTTTCATAGGAAAAGCAGAAGATAGACACTGGAGGAGGTGGGTGGAGGAAGAGACAGCTCTGCCCCACTACATGCTCTGGGAACTGCTTATCTCTCAGCACTGCTGCCCTTTAATTAATCCATTTAGATGCTGAGACTGTTTTCCACAGATTGAGAAATGACTGAGGTTTCTTATTATAGCACATCTAAGTTCCATAGACTGTGTTTCAGATTCTTCCCCAGTTTTGCTCTGTCTGTCGAAGCATGCCCCATCTTGCTGACCTGTCTCCAACAATGACTTGCTCCATTCCGGTGTTTACACATATATTTTATGTCTGCCTAGAGTGCCTCCTTTCTTCCAGTTTTCTTTCTTTGAAATTTCTAATCAAATTTCACCCTCTGTGCAGAGGAGTCATTTATTAAGTTGTGTATCCTAATTCAGTAGTTCACACTGGGGATCTGAGATTCTGCATTTTTTACAAGCTTCCAAGTGATTCCCACACTGCCAGTCTGTGGACCACACTCGGACTGGTAGTACTCTATAGGAGGATTTGATACATTTGTTCTGTAAAGGGCCAGATAGGAAATACTGTAGGCTTTGCAGGCCATAAAGTCTCTATCACAACTATTCAGCTCTGTCCTTGCATAGGGAAAGCAACTACAGATAATACACAAATGAATGGGTATGGCTGTGTCCAATAAAACTATATTTACAAAAGCAAGTGACAGGCTGCATTTTGCTGACCCTTATTCTAGAGCACAGACCACAGAGTCAGATTGACGGTTTCAAACTTTATCTCCACTACTTGCTAGCTCTCAGTTTCCGCATCTGTGGAATGGGGATAGTAACACTAACCATACCTCAGGGTTGCTGTGAAGGCTTAGATGGCAACGGGAGCTCCGTGAAGGCAGGAGCTTTGTTTGATTCTCTGTCCGAGAGCAGCACATGGCACATGGTAGGTGTTACATTAACACGATATTAGCTGTTATCTTTCAAATGGAAACAAAAACCTAAGGCATTTTAGAGATACCCCTTACAATACCTACCTTACCTAGTTTCATTTTACTAGTCTTATTTTTACTTCTACCCACCATGCAGTCACTGATCTTAAGGCACTCACAGTGTAGTGAGGAGAGAGCAACAGGTAAAAACATTCCAATTTATATTGTTGTGATATAGCTACCATATTTTACCATGTATAATGCGTACTTTTTTGCCCAGGTTTGTGAGGGAAAAATAAGGATGCACATTATACAGGGGTAGTACTCATTCTGTATCTATATAAATGTTTTTAATTCTTTTTTTTATGCTTATGAGTTAAAAGTGTAACTCTAAAAATCAATAACGATATCCGTATGCAAAATAATGCCCTGGAATACAATAATCTGTTTTGTTGAACTTATGACAAACTTGCAACGACGAAGAGTTCTTGGCCTTCTATGATGTGTAAATAATATAAATTTGTTACCAGTACATAAAACTTCTTGTACCTTGTATCTGTTCTTGTGTTTTATAATTATTTGTTACATAAAATTTATTGTACTATAATATGTTAAAAAATAAATGCTAAAATTCCTTTTATAATACAAAATCCAAGTACCTAAATGTAAACAAATAAAAATTTGAATGAAAAAATTAAAACAAAAGATTTTTTCCCCTGAAAGTTTGGGCCAGAAACATGGGTGCGCATTATATTTGGCAAGGTACAGTAAATACAGGGTGTTAAAGGAGCACATAGGATGCTCTACTACAGATGATAGCGGTTCTGGAATATGGTTGAGCTGAATTTCAAAGAGTAAGAATTTGCCAGGCAAAACAGATAGGCAGTCTAGCCAGGGTCATGACATGTTTCGGCTCCGGATGTGAGAGCAGGTATTTTGGCCTGATTAGATGCTGGGATCCCATATCTACTTAACTGGTGTTAATTCCTGACAGCCTGCCCTGTGGGAAACAGCTCAGTTCTCTGCAGACTCATGGGAGGGAATGAAGGAAACTTGTGGACAGAACATGGCTCTGTCTTGTACTTATAAGTACTTAATAAAGGTCAGAAACCTAAGATACACTCATTCTAGTCTGTCAGGTACAATTATGTATTTACATTTTTTTTATTATAGAAAAATTAAAAACTGTAAAAGAGAATAATATCACCAGCACCCTGTGCCTATCTTTTGGCTTCAGCAGTTATCAAATCAGGGACAAACTTGTTTCTTACATTCCCACATCTTCCTGATTACTGTGAAGCAAATCTCAGGCATCATGTTTTGATGTTTCTGACACATATTTTGATTTTCACAGAGGCCAGTGCTGCTGAGGAGGCGGCCGTGCATGTAGCTGTGGTGGTGAGACCTGGCAACGCGGGGCTGACAGACGATGAAAAGGCTTACTACAGCCTCATCTCATCCTTCAGTGAACTGTGCCTTCCTTCCTCAACCTAGAGGAGGGTTTCTAAGCAAGAGCGAACTGTCTTCCCGGAGTTGTCCCTGTAGTTTAGTTTTATTCTAATGGTCAAAGTAACTTACTTAAAAAACACATACAAACGCACATGTATGTATGCAAGTATATGTATGTGTGTGTTCAAATTCCTTTCACAGGCACATAAGTGGGGGGAGGCGGGGGGAAATCTCAGTTCTGTGAAAAGGAAACTTATTGAAATAGAAATTATTTGAAACCGTAACTAACCCTCATTGAGGGCAAAATGTAGTCGATGGAAGAAATCACTACAATACAGATCAAATGTGTTAGGTTTATCAAGTTGTGTACCAAAATGGAAAGGTGGGTTTGAGAAGTTATTCAGAAGCCTTGTTATTTTAAAAACTGGAAGTATTTTAAAGACTTATTGCTAATAATAATTCATCCCCCCCTTTTAATTATGTTAGAAGATTACAACAGCTGCATTTCAAAATATTAGCCTCCCTACATTCAAAAGACAAAGCTATTTATTTCTACTCAAAGAGCAAAATTGGGAAAGGAAGCTTATTTGAGTCTTGATCAGTCAGGTATCTATTACTTAAGAAACTTGCTAATCGTGACACCCTCAGCAAGCAGTTGCCTTACTAATGAAAAAGGTACACTGATAACAACAGGTAAAATAGAAATGTGGTTCTTAACATCTTAACATTCTTAACAAAACAGTCTTAATCCTGCCAGTTGTTATCATTATAGATTTTATAGTTGCCTTTCTAACTCCTTAGCACAGTTTGAGAATACATGTTAATTGCTATCTACTATTTAGAAAGGGATTACTGAAATCAGTTTATAAGACCTAGAAAAGCCCTAATATGTACTGTTTTCCTCTGAAATGGATGTGAAAAATGTAAATTTTATAACAGCATTATTTATCCTGGCTCAATTCTAATGGGACGTCATGTTAATTTCATGTTGTAATCTGATTAATAAAAAACATTTTCTTCTTCACCCAGTTTTATGTAGATCCATGAACTATACCACATAACTGCCATAATCAAAAGAAAAACTGTTGACATTTTAAAAATGAGAATTTATTTTAGTTTTTCCCTTAATCGTGTGTGTGTCTTTTAATGGAAGACACTGGAAAGTCATTGGCTATTTGACTTATGTGTATACATATATGACTAACCTCATTGGTTATTATTTTATTTGGATAGTAAACATTTCAAGATATGAGTGGGGGTTCTTACACTTTTAAGACTCAAACTTGAGGTATAGGTTGAAGGAGGAAATCATTCTTCTAATTAAGAAAAACTAATGAATCCTGGGGGAATAATTTTGGGAATGCTTAGAATAAAGAAAAGTAAGTAGTCTTGCAAATATGAGAGGACAGGGAATATAAAATATTTTTTGTTGATATTGTTATCTTCTAGTAGCTAATTAAGACATCTAACGACTGTGAAAATATAGCGTGAAAGGGAAATGAACTTAAGTAAATCTTAGAAATGGGAGTAATTTGTAAATGATGATAATGCCACAAATGGTAATAAAATGTTGAACTTCATAGAATTTATGAAAAAGCTCACTAGAAGATGACAGAAGAAGGTGTCTCTTAATGAAAGTAAAAGAATAATTGGAAAAGTAAGGAAGAAGTGAGAGAAAATTATTCACCAGGGTCTAGATTAGAAAGGAATTGAAGGAAAAGGAGGGTGCTTAGTATCTAGCCAGTGGAGAATTGAAGTGGAGAGGTGTCTTAGTTCATTCAGGCTGCTATAACAAAATACCAGAGACTGGGTGAATTAGAAAGCAAATTTTATTTCTTACAGTTCTAAAGGCTGGGAAGTCCAAGATCATGGTGCCGGCAAATTCAGTGTCTGGGGAGAGCCCTTTTCCTCATAGACCGCAGTTTTCTCTCTGTGACCTCACACGGTGGAAGGGGCGAAGGAGCTTTCTTGGGCTTCCTTTGTAAGAGCACTAAGCCCATTCATGAGGGCTCTACCAAGGCTTCCCAAAGGCCCCACTTCCAAATACATCGCCTTGGGGGTTAGATTTCAATAGATGCGTTTGAATGCACAGAAATATTCAGTGTGTAGCAAGAGGCATTTATTGTCCATGATAAAAAAGTACCAGAAAAACTAGTTGATATTGAGTAGTTGACAGAAATAGATTCAAAAATTGAGAAGAAGTTACAATATCAGATTCAGTTTATCAGAGAGGGGTGCAAAAGGAAATATTTCAAAAGGGTGATTGGAATATTTCTTGGATCCTAAGAAACTCATTCACAATTAATGTGATAGGAAAGGGACTTAGGAAGAACTTGAGATGTAAAGTAGACTGGTCACGAAGGAGGAAAACATGCCCAGAAGGTGGGTAGTGAGCTAGGAGGCTAATGCAGCTAAGTTCATGGTCTTTGTAAGGGAAGGAAGGAAAATCACACCTCCGGAATTTCCAAAAAGAGAACAAAGGCACTAAGTTTTCTCAGCATCCTGTTTGCAGAGAATATAGGGGACAAAGGTCTCAAAGTTGTGGCCCTATTAATTCCTGTTTGTTAATCCAGATTTACCTGTTGTGTGCTCTTTCCAAAGATTTCCAATGTTGGGTCAGAACCCAAGTTGGTTTCTTAGAAGAGAAGCCTCAGATAAAGGGGCTTCTCTAGTCTTATTAGCAGTTCTGGAGTAGCAGGGCTTCCTGTCTGGCCTCTGGAACGCTGGCCTTAGTTGCTGAGTCTGGTGTCCAGTTTAGAGTTGCACAAGAAAAGGTGAGAGTCACTGGTCTATTGCCAAGATAGGCGCACAGCAGCCTTTGCCCAGCAGATGGTGCTGTTTCTCCAGAGACCTTATCAAGTGTGAGGCCACCAGATACAGCAGATGGAGTTAGATAGCATTAAGAGGAAAATGAGTATAGTTCATTTATCATTATTAAAAGGCAGTAGCGGGCAGCTGGTTAGCTCAGTTGGTTAGAGCACAGTGCTCATAACACCAAGGTTGCCGGTTTGATCCCTACACCCTCCACAACTAGATTGAAACAACTACTTGACTTGGAGCTGATGGGTCCTGGAAAAACACACTGTTGCCAATTAAAAAAAAAAAAAAGACAACAGCATGATGTTGCAAGAGTCAGGGTAGTTTGGGAAAAACGGCAGTAATCCTAAATGAAATCTGCACACAAAAATCCCTTTTTCACCTTGCCCTCTAAGTCACATTTAAAAAATAGGTGATTTTTGGATAGCCAGTTTTTTCAGCTACAGTGTTAAAAAGGACTTGTTTTCAGGTTTTAAAAATTCCCATCAGAGCACAAAGTTGAATTAATGTATGTACAAACAATTCATTATCCCACTACCCATGCCCAGATGGTAAAATACTATTATCTTGAACCTAATTTAAGAATAATTTGTAGTTTTTGCTAACACTTTGGAGTAAACTTAATAGAAGTAGAATTCACCTTCCTTACAGATTTAACCCAAGTTGTTCATTCAAATATTGACTAAGTATCTGTGATATGCTCTGGATCTACTGTAAGGGGACACAGTTCTTCCCATGGGAGTGCCATGGTACATAACATTCTTGGAGGAGGCTGTCGATAAATAGTGAACAACAAAAAATAGATACCACTAAGTGCCGTGCAGAAAAAACAGGATAGAGTGGCTTTTTACAGGGGGTTGCTAAGAAGGTTATATCTAATCTGAACGACATGAAAATGTGAGAAACTAGAAGGAAGAGTGTGCCATGAAGATGAAACAGTACATAGTAAAGATCTAGGTCAGAGCTTGGCCTGTTCCAGGACTGGAGGGAAGGCCAGTGGCTGGATGTCATCAGTGGGCAGAAGCCAGATCACTAGGGCTGGTTACCATGATAGGGTTTGAATTGTATTCTAAGTGTGGTGGGAAGCCCCTGGAGAATTTTCAGCAGAAAATGACATAATGTGATTTACGTTAAGGGAATTCTCTGTTGGATGGAGAATGGTGTAGGTGGGCAAGAGTAGATGCAGGAAAACCATTTAGATATGTCAGGGTTGAGTGCCAAGCCTGAAACCACTTGAGGTATTTTATTCAGAAAGGGATTTAAAATGAGTGAGGCATTTACAACATCAATGGCACAAGCTAAAGTAGTAGTAGTTGGGGAGATTGCCACCACTGACATTGCTACTCAATCCAGGAAGCTGGCCGGACACAGGAATACAGAGTCCAACTATTACAACTTCCTCTATAAACATTTGCACTCTGGCCTTGCCTCCCAACACCAATACCAATAAGAAGATTGCCTCTGTTTTGTTCTCTAACTTTGTGCATTTAGTTGGCAGTATCTAATTCCAACCCAGAACTCTACACATAAGGGTCTCTAACAGGTTTTTAGGTTTCCAGGTTCTCCAATTAGTGGATAAAATGGCGCCTGAGAGAGCCAATCTGCTAGATCTAAGATAGAAGGCTATTGGGAGTAATGAAGGTAAAGAATGGTGGTGGCTTAGTTTAGGATGGCAGTATTGGAAATATATGGAAGTGGACACAGAATGTTTTAGAGGTGACAATGATAGCACTTGTTTATTGATTGGACTTGGAAGGGTAATTTCTAGATTTTTAGCTTGAGCAATTGGATAGAGATGATGCCACTGGAAAAACTGGTGGCATTGACATAGCATGTAAAGTGCAAAATGTCAATGTACTATGTATGCCAGTGTAGACATGACCAAAAAGCGGTTGGATTTAAGTCTAGAGTTCAAGCCTAGATTTGGGAGTTCATTTGCCTAGAGACGCTATTCAAAGCTGTGGGATGCTGTGGGATGGTCGTATAAGAAGCGTCTGTTGATAGTGTAGACAGAGCTCTCAGGCTCCAACATTAGAGGTCAAGTTTAGGAGAGAAGCCAGCAAGGGAGATGAAAAAGGATTCGGCACCGAGGAAAGAAAACCAGGAGGGTAGCATGCGATCCAAATGAAGGGAGTGCTCAAATGTGTCAAGTGCTGATAAGAATTCAAGTTAAGTCAAGAATAGCTGTGGCCCTGGATTGGACAAGCAGTCTCATGGAGTGGTGGGGACAAAAATAAGGTTAGTTTGAGTGACTATGAGGTCTAGCTAAAGGTTTATCCATTTTGTTGATCTTTTCAAAGAACCAACTTTTGTTTTTTTTGGTTCTCTATCTCCACTTTAATCATTATTTCCTTTCTTCTGCTTGTTTCGGATTTAGCTTCCTCTTTTTCTATTGGGTTGTCGGAAAAGTCATGACGCATTTTTTGCAACGAAAAACAGAAAAAATACATCATGACTTTTCCAACAACCCAATAGTTCCTTAAGGTGGACGGTTAGGTTACTGCTTTGAGATCTTCTTTTTTAATGTAGTCATTTATAGCTCTAAATTTCCCTGTGAGCATTGCTCTCACCGCATCCCATAGGTTTTGGTATCGTGTGTTTTTCTTTTCATTCATTTCAAAGTAATTTTTCATTTCCTTTGTGATTTCTTCTTTGATCCATTGGTTGTTTTAAGAGTGTTTCCACCTATTTGTGAGTTTTCTAAATTTCCTTCTGTTGTTGATTTCTAATTTCATTCTAATTTGTATTTGGAGAACACATTCTGTATGATTTTGATCTTTTTAAAATTTATTGAGACTTGTTTTGGCCTAACATATGGCCTATCCTGGAGAATGTTCTTTGTGCACTGGAGAAGAGTGTGTAGTCTGCTGTTGTTGGGTAGAATGTTCTATAGATGTTTGCTTGGTTTATGGTTGGTTTATAGTGTTGAGTCCTCTTTTTCCTTGTTGATCTTCTGTCTAGTTGTTTAATCCATTATTGAATGTGGAGTATTGAAGTCTCCATCTATTATTTTTTTTT